CTTCAAGATGGAAAACTGTCTTGGGCAAAGCAATCATGAAATGATAGAGTTTTTTGATTCCTGGAGAAGTAAGGAGGAGGGTCAGCAGAACTGCCACCTTGGACTACCAGAGGGCAGACTTTGTCCTGTTTAGGACCCTGGTTGAGAGTCCCTTGGGAAGCAGTCCTGGAGGGGAAAGGAGTCCAGGAAGGCTGGACATTCTTCAAGATGGAAAACTTAAAGGTGTCAGGCTTGGTGTCACATGGCTATCCCCATGCGCCAAAAGATAAGCCGGCAGGGAAGAAGACTGGCCTGGCTGAACAGAGAGCTTTGGCTGGAGCTCAGGAAAAAAAGGAGAGTTCAAGACCTTTGGAAGAAGGGGCAGACCCCTCAGGAGGACAAGGATGTCATGTGGTTATGCAGGGAGAAAATTAGAAGGGCCAAAGCCCAACTAGAACTTAATCTGGCAACTACCATAAAAGACAATAAAAAGGGTTTCCATAAATACAGCAGCAAATCTCCATCATTTACTGGATGCAGTGGGAAACAGTGACAAAGGATGAGGCAAAGTACTTAATGCCTTCTTTGCCTCAGTCTTCAATAGTAAGGATGTTTGGTTTCCATGTGGGAGAATAGCCATGTTCCCAGAGCTGTATGAGGTACCTACCTCCCATCAGCCCATGATTGGCGAGAGCCAGAAGTGAGGAGGAGGGGGGAACTCGCACCCCCAGGAGCTATGGCTCAGTCTCCTTTGTTGCCATCGATGCCTATCCTGGGCACTAATGCTGAGCTACCAACTGAGGGCACACCGGTGGTGAAGGTCCTGGGCAAAAATCCATCACGTCCGTGTTGCACAAACCAGACAGGAAAGATGTCATGACCAAACATCTGAAGAGAGCACATGGAAAGAAGATCTTGTTTCAGTGTGCCTGATGTGGGAGAACGGATGTAAAACATCATAGTATTGCCTTTTCTGAAATGTTAGGGAGTTGTAGAATCTCCCAAAGTAGAGGACTGGACCTTGGGGAATGCAGAAAGGTATTTAAATCAAAAATCAGACTGGGGCAACAGAAGCGACTGGCCCACCCAGTCATTAGGAATGCTGAGCAGATTGTAGCCTCCTGCCCTAAGGGAAGTACCGCAAGAGGGGTACATCGACAATGCTGGATAGAAGAGGAGATGAAGTTGTTGAGAAAGTTGGATAAACAATACGAAGGGAGAAAGAACATCACCAAGTTGACTGCAGAACATATTCCGTCAAAAACAAAACAGAAGTGACAAGAGAAGAAAACTACCTAAGAGTCCTGAGGAAAGAAAGGATAAAGATCAAGAATGGAAGAAACATCTAGAGAGAGGGGGGAACATCTTGTTGACACTGGATCATGTGGAGAAGGGGACTGCAATCCCACTACCGAAGACTTATTTCTGACTGGTTAGCATCTGACAAACTACCCATTCCTCAAGGGTGTTATGAAAAAGTCACTGACGGGAAAACATCCATCAGCACTGACCGATGAGGCAGACAAAGCCTGCTATTCATGCCTGTTTAAAAAGTCCACTGAGTTGAAAGCAAGCCAAGGTCGAAAGTACCCAGTGGCCCACAAAATTCCTCCTTCATCCAAAAGAGTGGATGAAGAAGAGGGCTAAGAAGAAGGTGCAATTCTTAGGATTTCAGTGGATGTTTCACTTGGACAGAGGGAAACTTGTCGGTATTACCACGGACGGTGTGGAATCCCTGAGGTGCGACATCCCACTGGATGAGGTGCACAAGATGTTCAAGTCAAGATGGGAGTCGCTGGGAACATTCAAGGGCCTGGGTCCTTTTAGAACTATTGGTCGAGCAGACAACACGGCGCTCGATCACGGTGAAAGAAATCTCTAAAAACATCAGAGATGAGTAAGAACGCAGCACCAGGATCAAATGTGTTGAGTCTGTAAGATCTCATTCAAACAGATCCTCACTATTCCAAGTTAATGGAACTTTTCAATCTGTGGTTGGAGTCTGGCCTGGTACCAGATGTGGTGAGAATGTCAGACTATATTAGTATCAAAACCTGATTTACCGGAACACCAGAAGGACATCAACAACAGGTGACCGCTTACTATAGGATGAACCATTGTTTTCAAGGATTTTAACAGCAAGGTTGACCAAGGCATGTCCCATCAATCCAAGACAAAGGGGATTCATAGTCATCTGGTTACGTGGAGAACTTGAAGTTACTGCAAATGTAACTCCACAACGCAATGAGAGAACATCAACCCCTGGGGACAGTCTTTGTGGACTTACCCAAGCCTTCGACACTGTGAGCCATTCTCACAGCCCCGTAGCTCTAGAGCAAAAGGGCAGTGATAGTCGTGTTATTGCCCTGATTACAAATATATATCATAACATCAATACTTGTATTGACCTGAAGAATGAACAATCAGATCCCACTGGAGTCCAGACTGGTGTGAAAAAGGTGATCCGATGTCTCCAACTCTATCCAACTTATCTATGGACCCTTGCTGTGAAGGTAAAAGAAGGAGGTAGATTCCAACACTAAAAAACTGTAACAACAATGGTCCTCGCAGATGACTTGGTGCTACTAAGCAGGTCATGGAATGGGATGCAAAAGAATACTGTAATCTTAAGAGGTCTTTTGTGAACTGACTGGACTCCGGCTGCCAGGCAAGTAATGCCATGCCTTTCACATCCAGCAAACAAGAGACTCATATACTATCAATTACTGTTCTTCATGATCAAGTAACAGCACCCCCTTGAATATGATAGAACCTGGTAACTCAGAGATATATCTGGGGGTGTGTACTGACCCATGGATTGGAATAACGAAGCCAGAACTACTAGAGGAATTAAAAGGATGGTTACAACAGCTTGGAAAGGTGATGTTAAAACCATTTCAGAAGGTCAACATCTTGAAAGGGTGTACCATTCCGCAACTGATCTACTTGGCTGACCAAGCTGATGTAAAAGCCACGTACCTTGAATCCCTTGACTTGGAAATTCAATCGGCCACCAAGGAGTGGCTACATTTACCATCAAGTACTTGTGATGCCATTCTATATTTCAGCACGCAAGATGGTGGTTTAGGAATCACCAGACTTTCAGGATTCATTCCCAGTGTACAGGTCTGAAGACTGCACAGAACTGAACAGTCGTCAGCCGAGACAGTAAGATCATTTGCTAGGCAGCAATGTATTGAGGAGGAGTTTGAAAAATTATGGGTGACAGCTGGAGGGGAAAAGGACAAAATGCCATCTATGTGGGACCTGAAAACAATTATGCTGATATCTGAAGAAACAGGGGTGAGGAACCAGTCTCAGAATGGGAAAATTCCACAGCAAAAGTAATTTTTCCGAGACCTTGTGACTAGTGTAAACAGGAATTTATAAATTGGCCCACATTGCTGTCCCAGGGCTATGGGATTTCTAACTTTGAGAAAATCAGCAACAGCTGGATTGAACATTATTGAGGCAATCCCCATGGGAAGCTCATTACAGCAGTACAATTAAAAGCAAATATCTACCCCACACGAGAATTTCAAGGGGTAGAGAGGAAACTCAGATTACATCATGTCGGAATTATCAAGCAGAGAATGAGGCTTCTTCACATATTATAGGATACTGCCCTACAATACAGGACACCAGAATTAAGAGACTGTGTCTTATTACCAGCTTACACTTAGTTGGACAGGCCACCTTTACTTAATCCAGAAAAGAAATGTGTAATTTATATGTGTTTGATAAATAAGACCAGTTGTTTTCTGAGTATCCAGCCCCCTGAGCAGGAAGACAGGGACAGGGAGCAGAATGAAGTGCCCGCAATCCAAGGGGAAATGGTTAGTGACCTGCTACATCAATTAGACACACACGTAAGTCCATGGGGCCCGAGGGGATCCACCCAAGTGTACTGAGGGAGCTGGTGGAAGTGCTCGACGAGCCTCTTTCCATCATCTGTCAGCAGTCCCGGCTAAGTAGGGACGTCCCAGTTAACTGGAGGTTAGCAAATGTAACACCCATCTACAAGAAGGGACAAAAGGAGGACCCGGGGAACTACTGGCCTGTCAGTCTGACCTCAGTGCTGGGGAAGGTTACGGAGCAAATCATCTTGAGTGCCATCACCCAGCATGTAAAGGACAACCAGGTGATCAGGCCCAGTCAGCATGGCTTTGTCACAGGCAGGTCCTGCGTGACCAACCTGATCTCCTTCTCTAACACGGTGACCCGCTTAGTGGATGAGGGAAAGGCCGTGGATGAGTATAAACCAGCAGTGTGGCCAATGGCATCCTGGCTTGTATCAAGAACAGTGTGGCCAACAGGACTAGGGCAGTGACTGTCCCTCTGTACTGGGCACTGGTGTGGCCACACCTCAAATCCTGGGTTCAGTTTTGGGCCCCTCACTGCAAGAAAGACACTGAGGTGTTGGAGTGTGTCCAGAGAAGGGCAACAGAGCTGGGGAAGGGTCTGGAGCACAAGTCCTGTGAGGAGCAGCTGAGGGAGCTGGGGCTGTTTAGCCTGGAGAAGAGGAGGCTCAGAGGAGACCTTATTGTTCTCTACAACTACCTGACAGGAGGGTGCAGAGAGGTGGGTGTTAGTCTCCTCTCCCAAGTGAGAAGTGATAGGACAAGAAGAAAAGGCCTCAAATTGTGCCAGGGGAGGTTTAGATTGGATATTAGGAAAAATTTCTTCACCAAAAGGGTTGTCTGGCACTGGAACAGGCTGCCCAGGGAAGGGGTTGAGTCACCAGTTCTGGAGCTATTTATGAGATGTGAAGATACAGCGCTCAGGGACATGGTTTACTGGTGGACTTGGCAGTGTTCAGTTAACAGTTGGACTTGATGATCTTAAAGGTCTTTTCCACCCTAAAAGATTTTATGAAATTAAATACTCTAAAATGAACGATCATAAACAATAGTATCTCTGCAGGAAAAAAAAAGTTTGGTAGCCTAAGTCAAAAGACTGAGTTAATACTATTTTTACATGCTTTTTGTTGCTTCTTTGTTCACTTCATGCTCAAATTGAGTAAGCAAAAGTCATCATATGGCAGTCTGGAAAGCCTGACATCACCAAAGATTTCCTTTATTGTTCAACGTGCCTTTGCAGTGCAGAGCAGAATCAACCTCAACCATTTAAAAAGGAAACTGAAATCACATCTCAAAGTTCTTATAAATGATGTCAAAGTAATTATAGTATCACCAGTATTCAAAACTACTGTTCTTTTTCTTCTAATTATAACTTAAATCTACTACCTGTCATTTTTTTACAAACTGCAATTCACATTTGCTGATAACAAAAGCTTTTCTTTGAAAACAACACTGGTTTGTATCTAGTCAGGCAGCTTGTGCACATCACAGCATTCTGTCAAGAGACATGGAAAAGGGTAAAGGAGAAAAAGCTGAAATATGGCTACAGCTTATCTGCGCCTTTAATGCACCACTGCAGAACCTCAGGCAGCACTAGAGACAGCAAGTTTCTTCAGATGATCCATAAATACTTGCAAGCTGACATCATCCGTAAGAATGGGTGCTCCAGACTCCTACAAAATAAAAGGAAACAAGGAGAATTGATTATAGTTATTGTGAAGAAAGAGCATTTTAAGGCCCAATACATCGCATTAAATAAATTTAGAAAGAGCTTAGAAGTGTATCATTGCTGAAATCCTCTGACAAAAAAGCAGCAGACTGCACATTTACATAAATTTTCATACGTTCACATAAATGCAGGCATAAACCACAACTACCCTCCCTTCCATACTAATGCACACAGCAGTGAGCTGCGGCACAATGAAGTGTTTACAACCGCCATACAAAGCTCAAGAGGTTTTTTAACAGCTGCCAAATGCCACCTTAATAAATTTTTAAAAGTAAATAAAACTTCCATGCCACAATTCCTGCATCATTCCTACCCCAGTGCCAAGGTGAGAGAAACAGAAACATGGAAGTGACACAACTAACCAATCAGTATCTGTCACTGAAGCTCAGACATATCAAAATGGTTGAAGGAAGAAATAAATCCACTAAAGGTTTGATTTGACAATGAGAGAAGGTAGGAAAGCTGGGCCAAACCTCTCGTACAACTCTGTGCCACCTCAGAGAAACACCAAAAACATCTCAAAGTCATGCCACTGCAAAATCAGACTGTAAATGATTAACCAAAAAAAGAAAAAACCCAACAAAGAAAAACGCAACACCAAAAAAGCTTTTGGGTGGATTTTTGCAATTTACTTTCTGAAGAAGGATGCTTAGAATAAGTGCTCCTTTTTGAGAACTGGCTAAAACCAGTTCTCAGTTGACGATCAAGGGACAAATCCAGGCGCAGTAAGAGTTCTTAGATCCCTACAACACAAACACAGCCCCTCTCAGGGAAGGCCCACTAAACTGTCTATCAGTTGATGGTGGCAAGATGAGAATAAAGGATGTTGTACTTCCAAGGCTGCCAAATGCCAAGCCTGTGCTCTCCTATTTAAGAAGCCACAAGGGAATTGCAAGTCATTTAGTTCTGCAGCAGGATGTGATTCGCCACCTTGTGTCTCAAGCATGGAGTAACAGTACATCATCCTCTAGTAAGTAAACCACCAAAGGAGCTGCCAGACCCCTAAGTAAAGAGATCCCTAGCGATGACTGCTAGTGGCAATCCAGGGTGATTAAAACCAATGCACAGACTCAGCCCCTGAGGCTGAACACCTCAGTCAACACGCGCACGCAGGCAGCTGCTGTCACCACTGCAACCACCAACAGCAGAAGCTTCACTCTCCAGACTGGGAACACTTCATTCTAGTAGCTAAAGTAGCAGAGTATTTTATTTCCTGGGGAATAAAGTGAAAACCAGCAATGTTACAGTGTACATGTCTGGAAAGTGCATGAGAACTAGCTTTGATTTTTCACATACTCTAACTTTTGTTTTCTGTTCAAACAAAACTTTGAGCCAAGGCATCCAATGAGAATTTAAATTTAACTAACAACAATTTAGTGACAGTTAGCTGGCCATTTGATAAGATTTGTGACACTAACCTCTTTTTCCATTTCAAATTGCAAATTCCCCATAATTACCAAGACAAAAAAAGGTTGTTTTTTTTTTTTTTTAAAAGTAAAGGCATTCTCAAATAAATGTCATATCCAATATAATCTGAAAATTTCAGGTGCATCTCCAAAGACTAACCAACATAATAGTGCTGTATCAGAAGTTTCCCATTATTTTCTGCCAATGTTTTCTATGCCATGTAAGGTACCCACCTGCTAAAGTTTAAAAAAATCTTTACGTACAATACAAAAAACCAAACCAGTCAACTCATCACTTCCTGAAGTACAGCTTCACCCACAGTGTATGGGTGCCCTCTTCAGGGCAACGTGGTCTAGGAAATTTTTCTTAGCCTTTCAGTTATGCACAAAATAAAATGTCACGAAACAACCCAGAAAGCTCGTGTGAGGAACAAGAACAAAAGCAATTCAGCATAAAATTTTCACCCAGAAGTGACATTTCTCATTTCCTCATTTGCACTTGGTTCAGCTTTGTTCACAAAAAGGCCTGCAAACACAGGAGGATATTATGCTGAGCACACACGCTGCAACGCCACTGGGGAGATTAACGCACCATTTCTTATGTTACCCCAGAACTGAATTCTTTTCAACATTAAGAGCGAAAGCTGTATTCTCTAAGATGAATCAGAGAGTCTCACTTACCCAGCATGAACAGTTTTCTTAGACATACGCTCAAGAATTGTTTTGTATTTGCATTTATATTTGAAACGCTGTTTCATTTGCTTACTAATTAAGAGCACGAAACAGCTGTTCTTACTGTCGGAAATGTCAAAACTTCAAATATTTCCAGGTAATGTTTACATACAAACAAGACCTTTCCAACTACAGGACTCGTGTGTATGTTGTGGAGGAAACACGATGAAGAGAGTCACTAACAAATTGCTGACTACATTATTGTCTAAGGAGGCAAGAAAGCTGGGTTCAAATCACACTGTCCCTGACTCAGTACAAAGTTTTCAAGTATTTTCACTCTGGATCTCAGTGCTCTTCACTGCCAGAAGCTCCAATAGAACCAACAGGCCTCTGTGAAAACGTACCCTCACAAAAATCATTGCTGTGCAAACGCTATGCATGCATGACTGACCACTGCACACCCTTCAGCAAAATTCTCGAAAAGTACTGTTAATGTGTAGCTTCAGCTGTCTGATGCCATTCCATTTTCATGAGAAAATGACACTGCACTAGCATTCACCCACAGCAGTGTTTCTCTTCCCGCTATAAAAGCTGAATATGGAAGGAGAACATGGAACAGGGATACAACATTCAAGAACACAAGGTTCTCCAGAAAGTTTAACTTCTAAAGTCTTACATAAATTCTGCTTGTAGTGAGAAAGGTGGGAACACACGTGCAGTATCAGTAGCCGAAAAAGTCCTTGAATTGGTACAAACACTCCGCAGCAACTACTAAAAACACCAGTGTTACCAATACTCTTCTCAGCGCAAATCCAAAACATGGCCTGGCACAAATCCAAAACAGCCTCGTAGCAGGTACTGTGAAGAAAACTACTCCGTCCTGACTAAAACCAGCACACTTCCTATAGACAAGATTTGATTCCTGGTCAACCGGGTCACAAAAATTCAGGAAAACATCAATACACTGGTACTGCTGTACTTTTCAGTTCTTGCCTATATCTAACGTCTAAATGTATTTCCCCTACTGCAAAAGGTCCCCTACTCTTTAAGCACGGTAAATGCTCTCTCCCTATGGAATTTGAAGATATCTGTCTAAGAAAGATGGCTAGATAGGAAAGCAGCCTAACAGAAGCTTAAAATAGAAAACCAGATCATTTTTGTCTGAAGAAATAAGATCCATTTTTCTTAACTCTTGCAATTTTGGCGACATGAGGCCAAAACTGCCTTTCTTCTTCGGTTTCAAAACTGAGCATTATTGCTTACATGTACACCATGGGTCACTTGATTTCTGAAACAGGGAAGAAGAAACCCATGCACCCAAGCTTGCCCAGCAGATTCATACCTACCTGTCCCCATGCGTACATATTGTTATGAGTCTGAGAGGGATTCACTTTTGAAAGCAGGAAACGAGCCTTTAAAAAAAAAACAAAACACAGGCAATAAATTGAGCTTCTCAAATAGAAATTCATTGTACTCAGAAAAAATTTCATGTGTGTGAACTATGTCATTTCTATTATTTGGAGATAAGAACGTGCACAGATACCTATTCAGAAGAGCAAGTAGCACCTCTATAAAGCAAGCTGCTCCTTGGATTCTACAGCTGTAATGCAGAACTGCTAACAACTTTTCAACGCAGAGGAAAGTGAGAAAGTGTGCTTTTGTCTTTTTCTAAGCGCTAACAAGGCTAATGTGAGCTAGCATTTAATTAAGTTTCAAAAAAATAACACAAAGAAGAATTATGGTATTGGTCCAGAGACCCTGACAAGTACAATCTCTTTTGTCCTACACACTCACACAAGGAAATCTGAGAGTCCAAGCCAGCATGGCAAAACAGTAATAAACAACAGGATTCACGAATCAGGCAAAAAGCTACTATTAAATATAATTCAAAACGTTCATTTTTGATTTACATATATTTTAGCATAGAAATGCATGTTTACTACCAAAAAAAACCCCATCACATGACATTACTAACACATCACTTCCTAGATGATGTAATATACACTTCACCGTACCTGGCTTCCTCCATGCTCTGTATCAATGTATCTGGGCATTGGAAATCTGGAATGGAGAATTTCTTGGGCATCATCTATTGGAGCTTGTAGCAAGTGGTGAAAATTTTCATATTCTGGCATATCTTGGTAACCTGATTTACGCCACTGAGCTATGGTCTAGGGATAGGGGAAAGAAAGAAAGGAGTTTAGAACTGATCCACCAATCTTTCTTAGAGGATACACAGGGTTTTTCAGAGGAGAATGTGCTACTGCTTGCCTCTTTGTCTATCACTCACCCCTTTCTTCCCTACAGTATGCAAGTTAATTTTTAACAGCCAAGATGTGCAGTAACATGCCACTAGATTTTCTTTTTTTTTTTTAACTGCAATTATTTGTGGTCCATCTGTATGTCCTTTTTTTGTCATCATTTGCATGGTCAGTGTTTAGTTCCTGAGGTCAAGGATACTATTTACAGTTCTCTAATATGTATGTCTATGACACAAGAAATAAATATTTATACTGCTATTTATCTTTCAAGGCCTGTAGCGCAGCCTCCCGGCCTTCCAGGAGTGAAGCTGGCTGCTCAAGGTCAGCTCACTGATACAGGCTGTTGTTGGACTACGACCTGGAGGGAGCCTCCTCCTTCGCCTGGCAGCTGCTTTCAAGTTGAGGCTCTCGTTCCTGGCTCCTGCCTGAGTTACACTACTGCCATTCCTGTACCCGCACAGGTACCCCACCCATCTGTACCCTCAGCCAGGGACTTGACTACCCGGCTTGAAGGGGGATCTGCCTCATCCCCATCAACATCCCTGGTGATCTGGGCTGGAGGCTGAGCCTGGCTACTGCCCACAAACTGCTCTGCTCGCCTTGCTCAGGTGTGGTGGGGCCAGGTCCTCACCGATGAGGCCTCTGCCTGCCTTGCAATCACACTCAGCTCCCCGCTCCCCTTCCCACAGGGAGCAGCTCACCCCTGCTGCTTCCTGACACCATCTTACAAAAATACAGAGAACATTTTTCTACTTAAGAAGTGTTAAAGTTAGTAACTCACTTTAAAAGTGCAGCTATGTGATCCAGAACAGTATTTCTCAAACTCTCATCTGTGAACCATTTACAGTTGCAAAGCAACAAAAATGGGCAGCTCGGTTCCTCCAGGGAAGCAGAGCACTAGCAAGTCACAAGCGTTTATATTTATATTACTAGTGAATATCTGTCTACCCATCTGCCAGCAGCAGTTTCATTCCCCCAGGACAGTGCAGACAAAGGCTGACCATAAAACTCAGTGTTCTGACTCCCTATCCTGGAAGAACTAATTTAGAGGTCTAAAATAAATCAGGGAAAAGCAGGGTGTGTGTGCAGAGAATAACAATCTCTGAAGTTGGAAAAATACTGTTCTAAAACAAATAATCTGCATATTAAGCTAATTCCCCTTAAACACATCATGACAAACAGGCCCAAAACACAAAGTAACATCAGGTATCTGTGTACAGGCCCGTCAGGTTACCGAAACACAGACGTGTATGAGGAGCCTGGTATCAGCCGTGCAGAGGAGAGGTCAAGCACAGGAGTGCATCAGAACCAGGGCTTGGCTTTCATAATGCAGCACTCCCACAGAAAGAGAATATTTATGTAAGAAATGAAAAACCTTACCTCTCCGTGATAAATAAGGATCTGGAAAAAGGTGTCCATGAGGAGAATGCGATCTGGTAAAATGCTGCTGCTATCCAGAAGAACAGGCTAAGATTCAAAAATAAATTAAAAATGACCAACTGCTGCAGAACTGAGCAATCAGATGGCATTACCAGCTTCTTGAATCAGGCCCCTGAATCTTAGGAACATTTTCAATCACCTATCAAAGCTCCCTATTTGTTCATTTTCACGTTATACATCTGCAACCCACAGTCTCACTCTAAAGTTATCCAGCCTGATTCTGAATATGTAACTTCATGAAAGTAACAAAACACGCATTCAAGAGCTGAAACCTCTTTCATTATTATGCACTTTTCTAGCCTCTCAAGTACCTCCATATTTACGTGTACAATGCCATTAATTTGAATGGTATTTCCACACATAAAGATTCAGTAATTCAAGTAAAAGATTTGGGCGCTGTGGGTTGTTTGGGTTTTTTTAGTCTCGTCCTTGCAGCTATTATTACTGTGCCTATATATCCAGTAATACTGTATATAGTAAATACTCATGATTTATGAAATCTAAGGTAGTATTTAAGGTTTTAATAGAGCTTTTTAAGGGCTGTGACACTCTATTGGCACTTTATGATTTAACTGAATCAGTACCATATGATTTAATTGGATCAATTTTATTAGGAATACCAAAAACATTGACTATTCCAAGAATAATAAGCAAAAAATTACTCTTTCTACACTGAGGTGTCAGCTCCCGCTTGATTATGCTTCTCATTTATATCACCCATGTGACTAATTGGTATTCATACATGGGAGAATGATCTTACACCTGTGAGTAGCTCTCCACAAACCACTTCATTACTTTAAACTCCACTTTCAAAAGTCTTTCTTTTATCCTCGTAACACTGTCTAAACAGAAAAAAAAACCCTAACAGAAGTTACAATTCCAACCTGCCAAGATCCTTGCCTATTAGGTTTATTTTCACTGTCTTACCATTTCCTCACTCTCTCATCTGTCAGACTAATTTTATCATCTCCTATCTTACGCTTCGTTCACCAGCTTCTTGCAAAATCACCTCTTTATTTTAAGTTTATACAAAATGTGCCATGATAAGGTCAGCTGGAAGGTTCTCTACCAAATCTATACATAATGGTAACCACGTCAAAATCAGAAGCTTTGGATGAGGGCATGAAGATAGAGGGAAATTTGTACATTTCAAAAAAACCCATCCCAACTATTCTTTCAAAATCTAGAGAAAAAGCACACTTTGAAATAAAAACATTTTTGTTGATCTTTACATTCTGGCACCACAAACCCAAAAGCAGAACTCCTACAGCTCTCAAGAACTACAAAAACCCAACCCCTCCATTCCTTAGTTTTAAACATCACCTCTTCATAAACTGGTTTTTGTTCTCAAGACTGCTACATCAGAACTCTGAGACATGCCTTGTTCATGGCACGTTCTGTATTAAATGCATATTCTTTCTCATGCAAAAAACAACACATGTTGTAACACATAACACTAAGGACAACAACCATCTCTCTCTCAAAACTGCACCTTGTAACCTACTATTAGGTCACGTATAATGATACCTCTGGGGGTCCATTGAAAGAGTAGGCATAAAGAATTGGCTGAACCATGATAAGCGACTGGGTTAGATCTTGACGCATAAAATGATGACGGTAGTATGAGCTCTCATCCGGACTGTTGTTAAAAACTTGTAAGAAAGGAGATCTTCTCAAGTGAAACATGAACTACAAAACAAAAAACATTTGACTGAACTTTCACAGGTAAAAAGGAGAGTTGTACAAGGAGAAAAATGTTTTCCACAAACTAGAGACCATGACAAAATTCAATTCCAAGTCCTGTAACATTTCTAACTCGTATATGCACCTTTGCCAGTTTTCATATACTCTCATAAAAGGAAGACCGAGATCCAAATTGATAAACCTACAAAGCAGTTTTGAATTAAGAGAAAAATTCAGTATTTCTTCTTCTCCAGTACTTAATAATAAACAGAGTGACTGAATATTGCCAAACCTTCCTTTACTGTGAGTTCCATTGTTCTTGCGAGGGAGGCTGCTGTGCCTGAACACACAAGGTAAGTTACAGCATGTGAACAGAAAAAAGGACATTAACCACAGCCAAGATGAACTTTGTTAGTAAAATGGAAAGAGGATATCCTTTCATTGCTGATTCCATCTCTCCGCAACACTTAAATCTTGAGACAGACAGGTAGATAACCTGACCAGAAGTGTCATGGAAATCTATGAAGAGTCAAAAGCAACATATCTGGAGCCGTCAGAATGGGGGAATTTATCAGAATGGATTATTAGCAAAGAAACTATTCAAAGTTCAATACAGTTAAGTTCACTTCACCTGAGAAGTGTTTCTTTTCAGGTTAGTATTACAAATCATATAGAATCACAGAATGGTTTGGGTTGGAAGGGATATTAAGGATGATCTAGTTCCAATCCCCTACCATGGGCAGGGACCCCTTCCACTAGACCAGGTTGCTCAAAGCCTCATCCAGCCTGGCCTTGAACACTTCCAGGGATGGGGCATCCACAGCTTCTCTGGGCAACCTGTTCCAGTGCCTCACCACCCTCTCCAGGAAGAACTTCTTCCTGATATCTAATCTAAACCTCCCCACTTTCTATTTAAACCCGTTACCCCTTGTCCTCTCACTCCAGGCCATTGTAAAAAGTCCCCCCCCCAGCTTCCTTGTAGGCCCCTTCAGGTACTGGAAAGCTGCAATAAGGTCTCCCTGGAGCCTTCTCCAGACTGAACAAGCCCAACTGTCTCAGCCTGTCCCCATAGCAAAGGTGCTCTGGCCCCCTGATCAAATTCGTGGCCTCATCTGGACTCGCTCCAACCGGTCAATGTCCTTCTGATGTTGTGGGCTCCACAGCTGGATGCGGCACTCCAGGTGGGGTCTCACCAGAGCAGAGTAGAGGGGCAGAATCCCCTCCCTCGACCTGCTGGCTACAATTCTCTGAATACAGCCCAGGATACGGTTGGCCTTCTGGGCTGCCAGTGCACACTGCCGGCTCATGTTCAGTTTTTCATCCACCAGTACCCCCAAGTCCTTCTCAGCAGGGCTGCTTTTAATCTTTACCATTACAGGAAAAAACAAGAAAGCAAAACCATCTTTTCTTATGTTTTCTGAATTTCTCAAAAAACAGCACACTTCTTTAAAAATGCCCTTAGAAAAAAGTGTCTTCTGAATTACAAACTCAGATAAATTGAGAATTCCATTATAGGAGAAACAAAAAATACACACAGTTAGTTTAGCTGTAAGGTCAGAGGGCAAAAGGGGACACAGCAGCACAGTCAACAGAAGTGGTTTGCCTCATGTCACGTGCCAGACACTACCTGGGGTCTTTTCATTACGGTATCCAGCGTAAAGCCTCATTTTACTCTGTGCTACAGTGCCTCTTCCTTCACTAAGCATTCTACCTTTACCCTTTGTAGACACACCTTCCTTCTACTCACCTGTGGATAAAGTGAAAAGGTTTCCGAAAATCTGAAAGAGCTTGGATCATCCTTGTGATATTCTCCAAACTTCTGACACTGGAGTAAAACAAAAATGTATCTAAATTAAGAAACACACTTGCTTGGTCATGCCACTACTGTAAGTTTGTTTGCTTTTAACAGACACAGGATTTGAGATGCTTACAGCTTTGTACACAAACAGAAACAAAACAAGACACTGATGTAAATTCTTTTCTTAACAAGCAGTGATCTCCTTGCCTGTGAGGTTTTAATGGCCTTTTTCTCAAAAATCGCTAAGTAGAGTTAGATGATTAAACAGCCCTGGAGAACATGTTTATAATTAAATTATTAGTAACTATTAACTTACAAGTAAGAAATTAAAAAAAAAAAAAAACCACACACAGAAAAATAAACTTTTGAAAATAAAGAAATCCCATATGGTTTTCTAGATACTTCTAGATACTATTGCTGGCCATTACCAACTGCTCAGGACTGCGGAAACATTGATAAACGAACTAAAAACATATCTGCTCTTTTTTCCATTCAAAACAGAAAATCGCAGTTAGTCCTGCATACCCACTTGTGGAAATGACGCATTCAATGTTAATTTTTTGGTTTAATTTTCAAGGCACAATCACTGAGCACCTGTCATTTAAGAAAGATATATTGAGGCAAGAAACCAACCCGACTGTTTAACCACAGTCCTTTTTACCAGTCGTATAAGTTGTCTGTCCAGCCACCTAAGTACATCAGGCCCCTCTTCTGTCTCTGCCCTATACACTGCCAATCTAGCCATGAGAATCGCAGCAGCTTCCTGGTCAAAAGATGCAGCAATGTTCTGAATCTGCGTCTGTGCATCTGCCCAGCTGCAAAAGAAAAATACAAGTATTTGCATCACAGCGAAAGGAAAGATGTCCAACCTCAAAATATCCCTTCAAAATTAAGGCAAAGACAGCAACGTTAGCAGTTTTAACAAACTGATGCTGGAGCTTCAAAAATCTACCAGGCATACATAAGCAGCCTCTCAGCTAACCGTGCATTAATTAGATATGTCCCTTGTTTGTACAGATGCCATGCAACCAGCAAAGTAAAATATAATTCCACTATAAAAGTTATTATATTAAAAAACATTAATTACCAAAGGTAAGTTACAGAAAACACTGTCCATGAAGCTAACTGCGTATTCCCACATCAGCAGTTTCTCGTGCAACTCACTTGTTCTTTTCTATTTACATGAACTATTAAACCTATCCATTTATCACTTGCCAAGAAGATTTTACTAGTGTAACTAACATAAGTTAACAAGATACTCACATCAACAGTAAGGGCAATGCTTTTTTTGATAAACTGAATTTTTCATTGGATTAACCAATCAATAATCTCCTTCATCTTAAAGGAAATGTCACCGGACATTGAAAAATGCCTGCGTAACATTAAACATCACTTTCTAAAACTGTGAAGGAAATTGAATCAAGGAAGCTGCAGGTAACGGTCACACACAGAAGAACAGGTATTTACACCCCCCTGAACTGCAGCTAGCACTCTCAAGTCAGTGATCCTTGCCATTCCCTAAGTCCAAGCACCTCCCCCAGTTTAGGCCATAGAACTTCACTCAAAGCTTCCTCTTCATCTAAAACCACTCGGGTTACGTCAGAGCACTCCCATAACATCATTGCACAGCCACCGTAACCTCTCCGAGAAGAAACAGCCCACAGAACAAGAGAGGCAACTGTCTCAAAGCTACAATCGTGCCTTCACCACCTGCGGCACTGCCCATCTCAGAACAACAGACTGGTTACAAAATCCAAAGATTATAAGGCAAATATATATCCTGCTTTTTTGAGAATGATTCGTCACCAGTAAAACGTACTTTCTGGCAACTGTGGTCACTCTGATACGTCTCTGTCCACTGGAATGCTGGTACTGAGTCACAAACTGGATTGCACCACGTCCTCCTTGTGGAATGGGAGCATTGTGCTGAGTACAGGAGGGAAAAAAATTAAATGGAGGTGAGTCTCAAGATCTGACAGTATAATTCCCAATGTATAAATTAATTACTAGAAAATGATACAATTCTCTGCAATCACTCAAGTTTATAAATGCATTGTCTGGTGCTTTTATTCCGTCGAGTACCTTTACTAAAGATGGCTAATGAACTCGGAGACTGTTCAGGGATGTTAGGAGCCGTTGCTGCCTCCGCCAGACATCCTTAAAACAACCAGTGTTCTCTCCTTCCACATACCCTTACAGAGACAAGACTTTCAAAGGGGCTGGGTTACAATTCCTGATTTCATTAAATTCTATCTGAACATCACGGGATTCACTAGAATTACAGGGCAACAAAACTGGTATTACTCTAAAATGTTGATTAATGAGTCCCAGAAGATGCCATTGAAATATAAAGACTGGAATCCAGGCATAAACTGAAATTTCAAAACTTTGGTCAGTGGAAAGAAAGGTTTATAAGTTGCTAACAAGACAAGTAATTCCAAAAGAGAAGGACAGCTGAAATCAACTATTACACACCATGACCAGACCACTTTTAGAGCTACTAATGAGACCAAAATAAACATGCAAAAAGTAAAATGAAAAATGGCTAATGTAAGTTCAAGCTTTCAATCCTATAAATCCTATTCCAACTGTGGAGCCCTCAATATCAGAAGGATATTGACCACTTGGAGCGAGTCCAGAGGAGGCCACGAAGATGATCAGAGGGCTGGAGCACCTCTCCTATGACGAAAGGCTGCGAGAACTGGGCTTGTTCAGCCTGGAGAAGAGGAGGCTCCGAGGAGACCTCATTGCAGCTTTCCAGTACCTGAAGGGGGCTTACAAGGGTGCTGGGAGAGGACTTTTTACAAGAGCCTGTAGTGATAGGACAAGGGATAACGGGTACAAATTGAAATCAGGGAGGTTTAGATTAGATATCAGGAAGAAATTGTTCACGGAGAGGATGGGGAGGCACTGGAACAGGTTGCCCAGAGATGTTGTGGATGCCCCATCCCTGGATGTCTTCAAGGCCAGGCTGGATGTGGCTTTGAGCAACCTGGTCTAGTGGAAGGTGTCCCTGCCCATGGCAGGGGGGTTGGAACTAGATGATCTTTAAGGTCCCTTCCAACCCAAACCATTCTATGATTCTATGAAATAGGATATTTAGTATGCAACATAGCATACTAAATATATAGAAACAACAAGCAGCTCACATAGTTCCTGAGCTTTAAATATATGGAAGAAGGTAAAGTACTACAAGGAACTACCACATTTGCTTGTAATGTTTTTATCCCCTTTCCTTGTACTCCCTTAGGGAGGTAGGAAAGTGGGCTATATGCCTCAATGCATTTCAATGAAGCCCCACTTTACTTGCAAATACTGAGCAATTAAAGCATAAATTAAAATGTAATATTATGGACTAACCACCTTCCAAATAAAACACCAGAGAAATACTGAAAAGCACTTTTAAAGATACAGATTACAGTGTTTTCATATACTGCAACTGAAATACATTTTAATAAGTAGCACTGAAAAGAAAAATTGGACTTAGATTATGAGCTCTACCCAGAATTTGTCGGGCTTTTAGGTTCTCATTATCATACGCAAACAGAAGATCAGCTCATCATTAAGCTGTTAGTGCCCACCTCTGAACTTTAACAACCCAAAATGGCAACATCCTTTGTAACCCTGATACTGTGCTCCAGGGAACCACACAAAAACAGAGGCTTCACAGCCACATAAAATACAAGTACTGTGTTTAGAAGACAAGCAGACAAATATTTATTACCTGGTTGACCACCTCAAAGTACAGTGCAAGTGTTGTAGTAGGACTAAGTCCACAAATCTTCCACTGACAAGTACCTCCTGTTCCAATCTCCTGTAGAAAGATTTTATAAGATGTTTACAAACCGCAAGTCTCGCCTTGCTCGTGAAGTACAACACCTGGTCATTACAGGTAATTGTTTACGACTACTCTGTCACAAGTTCTGTCCTTGCTCACTCTGCCAGCTTCTCAGACAAGCACTCTCACAAAACAACTGCAGCATTGGATGCAGGAATAATAAAAAAGAGATGGTAGCAAAAAATTAAAACTTAAGGAAGTGGCATTAGAAAAATGGAAAAAGCAAGTCAGAAACAGGAAAAAGTACTAGACTTCGCTTAAACAGTCCCAAGAGAAGAGGTAAGAACAACATATAAATAGAAGGACTCTTCTAAGGCACAGCAGTAAAACTTCAGGTACATCGCTTACGCAGTATGTAGTCAAACCGCCTGCAGTAACTAACAAGGTAGCTGTGTACAGAGAGTGATGTATTTCAAGTGACAATTCCTTTTTGTCATCCAAACAACATGAACACCCAGCAAAAGCAATTAAAATCATCAGTCATCCATAATGAACCCAGTGAAACCAAACAAAACATCCAAGGAAAATTATACTGGCAACAGTGTCACCGCTTGCATTCACTGTTAAAAGCACTATGGCTAGAGTAATTGTCCAGTTACCACTTTAAATGAGCTGCATCTACATTTTATGTATATGTTTTACCTCAAAAATTTTAATTCAGATAATTTCAATAAAGAGGTTTTTGGAATAGAAATTAATAATTATATAATTGATTAAAGCAGGCCATCTGTAAGCATTTTCACACTGGAAGTGCTCTATTATGCAGACTGTTAGGAACAAAACTGAGACTTTTGAGGTGTAAGACATTTTTGGTTACCTCCAGGAATTATTTCTGATTAGTAATCAGATGCAAAATTAAGCTGTAATAATATTATTTCCTAAGAAAATAAGTGAAGATCGAAGTCTGATTTAAAGGAGTTACTTCAGGAGCCTGTAACAGTTGGGTATTACAATCAATTAATTAAACATGCATTTGGTGAAACACCTGAAAAAAAAGGGAAGACAGAGCTAAGATAAAGGGGATGCTTCCATGCTATTCTGTCCTCCTGTTCTCTCAGTCTTTTTAAACAAGGTGTTTTTATGATTCTCTTTGGATAAAAGGACATATCTCTGATTTCAACAACACAGCACACTAAATCACTTTCCACTTGGTTTCTTCTACACCAATGTATAACTTCTCTGTAATAATTTTAAAGCAACCACTCAGTGGACAAACGTAAATAAGTAACAAGGGATCTGCAAGGTCTAACACAACTTGACTCTAATCTAGCAATCAACAGAAGCTTATCCAAAACCAGCCCTTGCCTGTATTTAATTTAAAATTGGCAAAAAGTAAACATTATTCGTTCCACTTATGGAAAAGTTTCAGTCTCTCTTCAAATCCAGAAATCCTAAATCCTAGTTTTCCATAGTAGGATATTACCTTCATCATCAGTAAAGTTTACTTACATTTTCTGAGACACAAGGTCCTTTAGAGTTGAGAGAGACACAGGGTCCAATTGCTCCAGAAATCTTTACTTCTCTTGAAGTCTTTGAATTTACAAGAAAAACATACATTAATATGCCACACTAGGAAGAATTCAGTCTTATCGTTAGTTAAGGAAAACTTCAGTGCCTACCAGACTCTTGATACCTTTAGGAAAGGTTATACACACAATAATACTTGATACATTTTGAGAAACTTTTCATGTGTACACCTTCTACACTTAAATACATGTTTGCTGTAGCAATTAGTACATCTGAAACAATAGCATGAATATAAATTAAAACATGGAGTAAAGCTGCTGCTATTTCTAAACCTGAGAGCCTAGAAAGTATGCTGGATAATGTCTATTTTCTAGCAAGGTAATTAAAAGGTAAGTAAAATATTCAGAGGATGAGATTAAAACCGAAGACTGGTAAAATAAGCCTGTACATACCACACAATGAATTTACACTCTATCTCCTAAACATGTTGAGCTAAAAACAAAATCCAGTTATTTACATTCTTCCAATGTCATTTTCCTGTGTGAAGTGATTTGTACATCCCACTAAAACTGGGGCTCCCTTTTTTTGCATTTTCCAGGATCTTTCAACAAAATTCACAAGAATGTGTACATGAAAAAAGAAGGTTCAATTATTTCTCCTAGCAGTAAAAACTTAAACGGAATTTTACTGAACAAGAAAATAGCCTCATATTCTTCTGCAAGGCAGGACTGTAATATTTTGCAAGATACATCATGGTGCTATACCATAGAAAATGGAATTTTCCACTAAGAACAATGAACCAAATAACTTGCAAAACGATTAGTAACTTGTATGTCTCGTTAATGACTGTACCCTCAGAGTGGAATTAAGGACTGATAAAGGCTGCGAAATGAAGGACTGATAAAGTTTGCCAACATGACTGTGCCATTGAAGAGGAGCTGAAGACTGATCAAAGGGAACATCCTGGCACCTGGATGGCTGCCACAAGGCCACTGAAGTCAACAGTAACTAGGTAAAGGCAGCAGGGGCAGATCCAGACTAAAGACTCAATAAACACCCCCTCCACAGTTAAGACTACCCCTCATTGAGCATGCGCCTTGATTTAAAAGGACACAGTGCCTTTAAACAGAGGCAGAGAGTACAATTAACCAGTGGGATCTGTTGTGGTAAGTTACTAACCGATTAGTGTAGGAAAGGGCTGAGGTTGACCTTTGCTGAAGGGGGTAAACACGACACAGCTTGTTGTATGGCGCTGTGCTAGCTTTGTGGGGTTACCACCTAGACCCCATGGCTGCACAGGCATGAAATAAATCTCGGGTCTGTGTGTGAACTGGCTTACTGCACACCAGGTGGAAAAACCCTGATTTTGGGACAACAATGAAAGACAGTACATGAACGTAAAGCACACTCAGCTCCAAGCTTCTCAGCAGAGTGGAGGTGAAAATGAACACTGTTAACGTGTCAGAGGGGACTCTGAGGGAAAATGAAAGGAAAGCTGCCCTGGATGACATGGAGAACCTGGATCTAAACCCAAGAAACACTCAGTACTGACACAAAAATCTGTGCACACAGCATTGTGAGTTTCTAACAGAGACACTTATTTTCGTTTCCCTTTTAGCTGCCACTGAATGCAGAACAAGAAGGAATTAACGTTCTACCTGACACACATTTACAGAGGCATGGACTGCAAAAAGACAGCTAGGCAGTCACAGCTATGTCAGAGCTAACCCTAACGCATCTGTTCAGCATGTTCCTAAAAATTCCTTAAAGGACAAAGTTTCCACAGTTTGTAACCATCCTGTTCCAGTGTTTCACTAACACACTGCATTTTTGTATTCTTACCTTTATTTCTAATGTGCCACCAAATCCCATTTTAAATTGTCCTTGCATATCTTTTGTGAATACTCTCTGGAAGGTTTGTTTGAATAAAGATGTATTGAAAGAGTCTCCCATTACCATGTAGCCTCTAGACAACAACAACACAAACAAAACCCTCCAGTTAAAACAGGTTACTTATTACGCAATAATTTAGCACATTATATAGCTTATTTCTATTAAAGACTCAAACTAAGCCAGTTCATTGTGAGGCACATTTCTGCTTCTTAAAATGGACTGTCATTACATTAACATTTTGCTACGACGTTAGGGATCACATTTTTAATTGAGCTTCTTGCCCAGTCTGCAACCTAAGGTCATTGTGATTATAACCTATAACAAAATCTTTCACTGGTAAAATACTACACTGGACTTCAACACTAAGATGTCTCGTAACCTTGTCGTGCACAGTCAGTTTACTTCTCATATTCAAAACTCCAGGCTTATTTCCACACCATTTTATTTTGTGTAGTTTGCTTCTCATTTCAGGCTTAAATCTATGCTCAGGAAGCATGTTTTATTTTTATACTTAGCAATATTCTGTGGATGTTACTGCAACAGTTGCTGCTTACAATGAAGTATCATACACTGCATTTCAGAAATAGTAATGGGAGATATTATTTCTAGTCATCCAAAAATATTAATTAAATCATATTAGTAAAATATATTAATAGGCCAAACATTACACACAAAAGAAATCATGTAAGTTTTCAAATAGATACTCAAAGACAGGAGAAAATAAGACATGGGCAGAACCAGAAATTCCTCCCTGTATGCAGGATGCAACCAAATAGAAAATAGGAAGAGCTGTAGGAGAAACAGACAAACTATACATTAAAGCTAGTTTTGCTGGAAGAGCAGAAACAGGGTAAGGCGAGTGACAAGAGCAGACAGAAGGAACAAAATTACACTGTAGTATGTAGTAAAATACAGCCTGAGTTTGATGCAGAAAAAGAACAGGAGTCAAATGTGCAGGGAAAGTCATGAACTTAAAAGATCCTGCGCAGTGGAAGCTAAGGCTACACACACAGCTGTGAAAAGAAGCAATCCAGCAGTGATTAGCACGTCCAAGCTGGCCTCAATCCCAGTGGCACATGTTCATCACAACCTGCGGCTGCATCTCTCATTCCTCTTGGAATGCCCAGATATGTCACATGTGCTTGGGATCCTCTATCACAGGAAGATACTGACAGGCAGCTAAGGTGGCCCGTTACCCACAGATATACCAGCTGTTAAACTGATAAGCAAAGATGCTTCATTGAATTTTACCTGCAGTTGGTGTTGGCTAAGCTAACAGTAACAAGCAAGAAAAAATGAGCTTGGCAAAAGTACCCAGACTGAATACAGAGGTCTAACCTAAAAATCAAATAGTATGTAGAGCAGGGGCTATACTAGTAAAGATGAAATACTGTGAGTGTAGAAAAGACTTTCAGAACAAGAAAGAAAAGACAGCCTTTGAAAAAATATGGAGGAGGAAGAATTGGCAGGTTTTCCAAAGTGAATGAGGTACTTAACACCAAGCAAGAGTCAAAAGCTATCCCTGACTGCAGGTCTGCGTAACGGGAAGGGTGAGGGTGTCATCCGCAGCGACAGAAAGTAGGGGAGTGGTTTCATGAGAAAGACTACAACATGCTTTGGTCATATGAAAGTGAACTGATGGCAAGACAAGCTGGAGGGGACACAAGACCATGTCTGAAATGTCGAACTGGGTAGAGGGAGCAAAACTCAGGAGCAACAGGTACACCTGACCACCACCTAAGACAGTAGTTGAGCCGATGAACAACAGTATAGAGAAGGGCCTGAACAAGGCAGAAAGAATAACACAGGGTTTTGTACCACTCTGAACAGCAAGAAAGAGAAGGATGACAGGTCTTTATCGCTACAGAAACCTGCAGCTTACATATACACACACAGTGAAAAAGAAAAATAGCAACAGCACATAGGATAAACTGCCTGTTCAAAAGATATCCATGTTACTTAAGCCTCAAACAGATCATATTAAAAGAGAAACAGCAAAACCCCTTCTGAATAAACATGCAGTTGTGGTGACAAATTTCCCAGTGGCTGAGAAATTCCAACATTCCAGCACAGATGCCACCATCACAGTATATCAGAGTGGGTTTGTGTGTTTTCTTTTCTTTTTTGAAATAGCAGAATGCTTTTGGTTATGTGCTTCCTGTTAAACAATTAAAAAAAAAATTAAAACTGCATCTTCATATACTACTTAAAATGGATAGGCACCTACCCAGTGTAGTTGGGACAACACTTCATCTCCAGAAGACCAGTCTGATCCAATGCACACGCATATATGTCAATAACATGACCATTTGTTGCAGCCCGATTAGCCAGGGCTTCAAAATGCTAAATTCAAGATGAAAATACAGTTCATAGCAAAATTTATGACGTGAACTCTCCTCCCTAAACTCCCATTTTTCTTCTAAAAAAAAAAAACATTATGAGCCTTTATTCACATCACATTCTAATACAATCTAAAAGAATATTTTTCCCTGAAGGTAAAATTAAGACTGGAATTTTCAACACTTGGGGGTTTTTCTGACCAGCTGACAACCTGACTCTCACTATAGACAGACAACCTGGAATATGACCTTGATTTTTTCCTTTTAAACTTTGCATAAAGTACTAGATCCAACACACAGAACTGAATTTACCTTTCTAATCTCAAGTGCCTATAATGACAGGTTCCTGCAACTGAGCTAATTGTTTAAGCTCCCATTATAAGCAGTCAAAATGAATTCAGCAGTTTTTGGATGCAGTTCCCCTGCCCAAATGCACATTTAAGATGAAATTAACTATGCCTAACCCTCCCCCAAATACAGTTTTGAGCAGCTGTCTTAAAAGCAGACAGCCTTACTCTAGACATGCCATTTAGTCACATAGATCTTTTTTGACTTAAACCAGAGAAAGACTCGAAAGAAGTCTGCCTAGCTCACACTCAAGTCCTAACTCAATATCCTGACATTTCTGAAGACATTCCTGAAGACATACCACTATCCAGTGACAACAAAACCATGTAACTTCCACCTCTTTATACATTTGCTACTATTAACAGTATTTTACAGTGCCAGGCAATGTAAACGTTTACTTACTGGTAAGAAGCCTAAAGTACCACCCCATGATCATCTCTTACCTTCGTACCCTTTTTAACATATTTAGCATTGTCTTTTTCAATGTCGTGCCACGATCTTATAGGTAACTTGAGTTCATCCCCTACAACCATGCCAGGTCCTTGCGTGGCTGGTCCTCCAATGAACATCATTATACGTGCACCCGTATTGGGGAAAGTGCACTGCAGGAAACAAAAGACAAGTAAAACCATCAGGTTTTGCTACAAATTGACCAAAAGAAACAGCTACACAGGTATTTATCACTTTGATAGGGTTCTAACAATAAGTTTTCCCTCCCAACACCTAAATCTGCTGTTAATTCAAAGTCTCAATTTTGCCTCATTAAAATGCATAAACACCTATGATTATTCTATGCACATAAGAGATGTTATCCATAGGAATCATCATACAAATCTAATATGCATCGATTACTAAGGTTTTAACATAATGATTGTGACAGTCTTTCTGCAAGAAAATTATCTATTTACATATTAGCACAACTGTAGTTAAAGCTACTACCTCAAGGAGCCCTACGGCTATAGAAAGAGCCACTCCAGAAGAACGTAAGGGCCGTTTTCCTTGTGGAACAGGCCAAGGATCCCGTTGCAGTTCACCCAAAAGATCAGTAAGATTCATATCGATTTTCTGCACTGGTTGCAAAATTCTGTAAACGAATACACGAAATTAATTTAGATTCAAATTGTTAAATAAAAATGTTATCAGTTGCTCACCCGCAATATATTAGATGTATTAGCAGCGTCTAATTCTAGATTCGAGTTGCCATGGTTTAATCCTAGTCAGCAACTAAGTACCACACAGCCGTTCGCTCACCTTCCCCCTTCTCCAGTGGGGGAGGAGAATCATTGGAAAAGACAAGGAAACTCATGGGCTGAGATAAGAACAATTTAATAAATGAATATAAATTAATAAAATAGTGATACTTACAATACTAATAATATTAACCATACCACTAATAATATGTAAGGAAAATAAAGGAAAATAAAACAAATCATACAACTGCTCACCACCTGCTGACTGATGCCCAGCCCAGTCCCAAGTGGTGGGAGCCAGAGCCCGAGAGAGATCACACTAAAGTCAGAGTGAGCCCCATGAGCAAAAGCACCAACAAGAAAAACAACCAACGAGCTCAGCCCCTGGCCCACTCCCAACTCATATATTGAGCATGACAGTTTATCAACTGAAATACCTCCTTGGCCAGTTTGGGTCAGCTGTCTGGACGGTGTCCCCTCACAGCTTTTTGTAGCGAGAAAGGTGGCAACACAGGTGCAGTATCTGGGCTGCATCAGGAGAAGTGTGGCCAGCAGGTCAAGGGAGGGGATTCTCCCCCTGTACTCTGCTCCTGTGAGACCACACCTGGAGTGCTGCATCCAGCTGTGCAACCCACAACATCAGAAGGATATAGACCAGTTGGAATGAGTCCAGAGGAGGCCACAAAGATGCTCAGAGGGCTGGAGCACCTCTACTGTGGGGACAGGCTGAGACAGTTGGGCTTGTTCAGCCTGGAGAAGAGAAGGCTCCGGGGAGACCTTATAGCTCCTTCCAGTACCTGAAGGGGCCTACAAGGAAGCTGGGGGGGACTTTTTACAAGGGCCTGTAGTGACAGGACAAGGGGTAATGGGTTTAAATTGAAAGTGGGGAGATTTAGATTAGATATCAGGAAAAAATTCTTCCTGGAGAGGGTGGTGAGGCACTGGAACAGGTTGCCCAGAGAAGCTGTGGATGCCGCATCCCTGGAAGTGTTCAAGGCCAGGCCGGATGAGGCTTTGAGCAACCTGGTCTCGTGGAAGGTGTCCCTGCCCATGGCAGGGGGGGTGGAACTAGAAGGGCTTTAAGGTCCCTTCCAACCCAAACCATGCTGTGATTCTATGATTCCTTGAATTGGTACAAACACTCCCCAGCAACCACTAATGACACCAGTGTTACCAGTACTCCTCTCAGCGCAAATCCAAAGCAGCCTCACACCAGCTACTGTGAAGAAAACTAACGCTGTCCTGACTAAAACCAGCACACTGGTCTGGATTCAGAGCAATGGCTCTGCCTCACTAAGGTAATGCAGTGTGGTGTTACTGCATGCACAGCAACAGCACGCTCAGCTGAAGTTGTTCAGCGAAGAGCCTGTAAAACAAAAACTTGCTGACTTAGATACCAACGTCCAGAAGGAACCCTATCTAGCCAAAAGAACACAGCACACGATGACCTATGAATCTCAAAAAGAAACTCAAGTTTTCACTACTTCAGTGAAAAATCAAGGATCAGACAAAACATTTTTCCTGCTCTCTGCTTCGGGCTGTCTACAAAGGCAGCTATTTATCGGAAGGCAGCGACTCTAAAACTGTCTCTCATTTCTTCTCCGTCACAGTGGAATACACAGGAGAATCAAAGACCAACCCACAATTTCCAAATGAGGCACAGAAGGGGAGGGGAGAGGAGTGGAAGAGGGAGAGAAAGGGAAGGCAAATCTGGGTATCCACGTAAGAAAGGGGCACTAATGCAGCTATTAACACTTTCCAGCATACCAACCAACAGAAGCATCATTATTTACATATCTATAATATGCCTACATAATGACATGGATGACGGCATTGAG